TGCCCCTATTAAACGTTTAGTTTGCTACTGCACTAACTGTCTCTCCACCTGTCATTCGTGGCCATATGCTGCTTTGCTTGGAAGCGACATAAAGAGAATAAAATATTTCAGGACTGAGATAAAAGGGTCTTGACCGTCAAGCATGTCCAAAGTCCTTAGGTCTGTGACGCCTCACCCCAGTCATAAACACGGATTGATACAGATGGACAGGTCATATAAAAATGAATTGAGTGCACCCTGCCTGGCGGCATCAACGCAAGCATGCTACGCAACACCCAACAGGAGGCTAGAGACGATCCTTGCCTGGCTCAATGGGTGTGGGCCACAGGAATACTCCCCGTTGAGTAGCTACAAAATGACATCTCAAAGGTGTCAGACTCAGTCTGTCAGCTGAGAGGACTAAGTATGTAACCTTTGGGAAAGGCAACCAGCACGAAATGCTTTCCATGACGAGCGCGTCTCGACTATACCAGACAAAGCTGAGCCTTCAACCAATATTTGCGCATATGGAAGTTACCGAGCTACTACTCATCCTGGCACAGACAATGCCATGGTACTTAATAGAGGTGACTGTAGTACCTGGAGAGTGTTTCTGAGGAGCCTGTTTACTGAGTCTTCCAATGTGGTCCGTCAATTTCTGCCTGATGACGTCAAGAAGTGTCATGCTGTTGCTGTAGCTCACTTTCAGTTTCACAGTACAAGGAGACTTCTACAGCAACAAGTTGGGATGCTGTGACGACAGTGGCGCTTACATTAAGCTCATCTCTTGTGCCAGAACACTTTTACTACAGACCTTCAGGATCGCAGTGTCTGACAGCATGACGTACCAGCTCTTATGATGCGATTTATTCCCTCCAACCTTGGAACCACCTTCAATGCGTGAGTGGTGTAGGACACTACACGCACGAGTCGAGAATGCATTCCAGTCACTGTAGACCTGATGCAGACAATCCCCTCCCCCCTTTTAAAGAGCATGGGCCTGTTGTACATGAAAAGGAGACAGAAATACCCTGAAAAACACACGAAAGCAGCAACAAAACTTCTTGTAAACCCCTAAAACGAACTCATTTACACAGATGCAGCTGCCGGAATCGGTAGATGGGGTCAAGCTTCTCCACTTCACATCAGAGCAATACAGAGAAGCTTAAAGGGATGGTGAACCGAAATTTGGATTTAAAAAAAACAATGCTGGAGATGTAGGCGAGACGCTACAATCCCTACAACACTACTAGTAAGGCGATATCTCAAATGGACGGCCGTATTTTTGGAAAAAGAAGTCGAGATTGAACCAGGCCGACGAGGCACGTGACGTCAAGATACCTAGTTTCCTCCTCTCTTTGCTTCGCTCCCCCAAGGCCGCGAGGTGGAGAAGACGCGAGGCCGTTCCCTCTCCTTCTAGGAAAAACATGACGTCAACATTCCTGCCAAATGCGCCTCTTTCTTTAAAAATACGGTCATCCGTTCGAGATATCGCTGTATCAGTGATGTTTGTAGCATCCCGTTGCACGCTTTTGCCGCGTGTTTTGGGGAATCAAGATTTCGGTTCAGCATCCCTTTAACTGCGTTTCACTGGCACACATTCATCAGTCGTCATTGCTTTGCACCGGTGTGCTAGGATAAATGGCTCATGCGTCAGAGTCTCTGTTGGCTCGATGGTCTCAACATTTTTGCACGCTTTTGCAGGTCAGCCTTTGCCGGTTCTGATTAAGTTGAACCCCCAATTTTAAAGGGCAGTGACAAGAAAGAAAACCTTCAGTAATATTCAAATAAATAAGCTAGTCATTGCCTCGCTTGCCATGTTACACCTAACTTGTTTTTTCTGGGCCTTCCTCTTTTATGGAGGCAGTGAAATGTTACACAGAAAATATTTTATTCACCGTTCCACTTTTTGGTATAAATTCTATGTTAGTCAATCTATCGTTTGATAATAGCAAAACAGAGAAGGCTCATTTTTCCTTTTTCCTAACTGAAATTTAATAAGGAATGCGGCTATGGAACGTTTTTGTCACTTTACGGATGTCTTTTATGAACAAATGTTGACATTTTGTCAAAAACACAGAAGACCAAAAAGTTGACCAATTTTGCAGAAGAGAAGATTTATAGAAATAAATTACTTTTTAGAAAAAACGTTCCATAGCCACATTTTCTCAGCATTCTGATACATATCTAGCGAATAAGAATCTTGAATATTGTGATAGTTTTCCAACGATAGATTAACTAAACAATGTAGGCGTGTTGCTGATAGAAGCTGCTCTAATTTCCTTCCCATTTAACTGACAGACCTAAGATTTCGTTATACACCCTCTAGCATGACCACCAGCCTACCCTGTAAATTTCATTAATTTTAAGACAAGGGTTCAAAACTTGACCCCCCTAGGGGGTGTGTCCCCTTAATTTGACTTGCAATTAAATTTCCAACATCGTTTGCAGTCAAGAATTTGATACTCACACACGTGTACAGAAAGCATATGAGGACGCTCAACTAATGAAAACCGAAATTTCATGATATATTCTTGGAGTGCTTGTTTCCAATGTAAGTTTCCGCACATCTCTACAGAAAGCGTATGGGGACGCTCAACTAATAAAAACCGAAATTTCAAGATATATTCTTGGAGTGGCTGTTTCAATGTAAGTTTTAATGCAACTCTATTTTTGTTCCTGCCAATTGTGGCTGGGTAACAAGGCTGCGCTCGTCCTGGGACTCTTTGCAGGATGACCTGCAGCTGTCTCCCACCTGCCAGCTGCTCCTTCAGCTGGAGCAGAGCAATCAGGTGCCCAGCTCATCTCAGCTGGTGCCACCACAGTGCGCACCTTCAGGATCGCACCCCACGCTGCTGTCGCCGTCAAGACCAGCCCTGGCTGAGCGGCAGCTACAGACCCCGCAGCCAGTCCTACTGCGCCCCAGGAAGAGGACACACAAGGGCACCTCTCCGCAGGGCAGGACTCAAGAGGATGCGGCTCTGACGACAGTCATTGAAGTATCTGTGCGTCAGATGGGCAGGGTGTGCACAAGGTCTCACCCCCATATAAGTACACCTAATAGTGCATTTATGGCCTTTATGGTCAGCGAGGTTGAGAGCTTGCCACTTAGCTATCAAAGCCGGTTTAAATTTAACATGCACAAGATGGCATATGAGCTAAAGATGGAAGCCCTTAGTGATAAAGAAAATCAGTAATAAGCTTTGATCTCACAAAACATGATGTTAATATTGCTGGCTCGTTATCAGGTGCAGCTACTACTGGGAGTGGGCTTGGGAGGGCCCACTCAACAGAGCAGCAGTTGACGCTGAGAGTAGGAAGCGTTCACCCCTGCTGCTGGCATGTTTTTTTTTTTATTTATTTTTTTTCCGACTTGGTTGCCTAGCTTGCTAAACCCGTGTCGGTCCTGACAAGGCTTGCCGTTTGCTCAAGTTTGAGATTATAACATATATTTAAAAAAGGCAGTGGAGCGAAGTATGTAGAAAATGGAGGCCTAGCTTGTTGAAATGGTCTACTTTGGTCGGCAAGCTAGGCTTCAAACTCCTTGCTCCTAGAAAAATTGGTTATAAAGTCAGGTTCAAGCTAACAGCAAGCCTCGTCAGAACCGACAAGTGTTCAGAAAACTAGGCAACTGTGTCTGGGGAATACGGAAGCAGCATGCCGGCAGAAGGGGCGGCTGCTTTCTACTTTCAGCGGCAAGTGCCACTCTGTTGAGTGGGCTATCCCAAGCCCCTCCCCCAAAAGCACCTACAACCGATAAAGGCCCGTTCACACATTTGCATTTGACTACGACCGACTCAGACGAAACCGGTTTTTAAGCTTCTTGCTGCGACAGCTTCTGACAGGCTCCGCAGCAGTGCACCCGCTTGTAAGGCGTCGCAAGAGGCTTAAAAACCGGTCTTGTCTCAGTCGGTTGCAATTGTGTGAACGGGCCTTAACGAGTCAGCAACCTCAATATCAAGTATTTCCTGCACTGAAACAAAAAAAAGATAATAGTAAGATATTGTGTCCGTTTTTCATATAGTAATATTGTGTACCTTGAATGTTGTATAGCCTAAAATGCATAGATGTTTTATTTCACTCATTGTTTATTTTATATATTGATTGTAATGTTGGATTTATGCATTATTTTGTTATGCATTGTTTTGACCTGTGCAATTTGCAAATAATTCCATTTTTTATTTTTTATTGCATGTCATGATAGGAATATATTGATATGCCCACTTGTGATACATTATTATCTTCTTTACTAGTGCATAAAATATATTGATGTGTTATTTTGCTCATTGTTTAGTTTATGTCATGGTTTTAGTGTATTTATTGCACCTTTGCACCGCCATGCGTAAGTATCAGAAGAAATCGCTTCCATTATCGAGGTGCATGTCCCGGACAAGCTGGTGAAATTCCCCGTACGTTGCCCGGGACTGGAGCAGAAACCGAACCCACTCACGTGGCTCCCTCCGTCAGGAACGAACGAGCATCGCTGCGGACGCCCTTGCCACAAGTGCCCAGTCCACATCGTTTCTTGCTTCTGCTATATATCTATCAACACACTGCAAGAACAGTGTCCGCAGCACATCATTGCTGCCAGAATCAGGCCAGTCCGGCGGGATCAGGGCCAGGGGTGAGGTTCTCGCCGGAGTAGCCATGCTGGGACGAGAAGCGAGCACCATCGCTTTCGCATCATCCAGTGTTGCCTGAGTATGCCAATTGCTAGGGGCTGAAGCTGGGCCCTTTTAGCGTTCCACTATTGGTTGTTGACGCGCCTACTACGCGACTACGTACGACATGAACAGCATGTCTTAGTGGTTGCCATAGCAACTGTCGTCCTACCGTAAAATACCGCGTAATCGCCCCCCTCGTGTAAGCGCCCCCTCCCTTTTTCCGCACATTTCGCATTTCCCTAAACTACCAAGTAAGTGCCCCCCCCCCCCTCCCCCTTTTTCCGCTGCCGGTGGCCCCGAAAAAAGTTTCGTTCTGGAAGTTTTGTCTTTATGTGTAGCCAGGGATCCAATCCAATCCAATCCAAAAGTAAACGTGAACCACGTGAACCTTTTGTTCGCCATTTTGTTGTTTGACGGCGCCGGAACCAGTCGCGTTACTGCGTGCGCTATGCACTCGTACACTGTGCAAAAGAAGATAGAGGTCGTCCAGTGTCACAGGCTGAAGGGCAAGAACGTGCATCGGACATCGCGTCAGTTCAAGCTTCATCGCAAGAGAATCCGCGAATGGGACAAGAAGTATGAAGTGCTTCTCCAACAGAACTTCGGAAAGTCAAAGTTACGACGCAAGTTGGGAAACGGAGCCCCTGTTTTCAGCGAGGAAGTGGACGACGCGCTTTTTGAATTTCTTGAGTGCGAAAGAAGTGCTGGACGCACCGTCAGCAACAGGCTCCTTTCTGAAGAAGCTGTGACGCTAGCAAATAACCTACAGCTGGGCAATTTTGTGGCCTCCAGTATGTATTTAAAAAGGTGGAAGGCGCGGTTCGGTGTTTCGATGCGGCAAGCAACTAATGAGAGCCAAAAAGTGCCCGAGGACTGCGCGGAGGAGACGCAAGCATTCCGTGCTGCAATCGGCTCTCTGCAAAGTCGCCACAACCTGACTTTATTCAACATAGCGAATATGGATCAAACAATGGTCCGAATGGACACTCCGGCGAACCGGACCAACAACCTCGTGGGAGAAAGTACTGTCCGGATTACAAACACCGGCTGTGCCAGGTGGGGTTTCACGGTTGCCTTAGCAGCCTGCGGCTCTGGTCACAAGCTCCCGGCGTTTATCATCTTGAAGGAGCCGAGCGGAAAAATTCCAGCAAAGGCCTTCATGAGCGTTCATGTACCAGGTGAGAACAACATTTCGCTTGCTATTTTGCCACCGAGAGAAATAGTATAATGCATTATGAGCTCGCGTTAAATACAATGTCTTTTTTTTTTTGTTTCATCTTTAGCGAATTGCCGCGTGACCGCTTCTAAAAATGGCTGGATGACTTCGGAGAAGTTCAAGGAGTGGCTGACCAAGGTATGGGGCCCTAACACTGACGACGTACGGCGGCTCCTGGTGTTGGACCAGGCGCCAATACACAAGACCCAAGCGGCAAAAGATGAAATTCAGGAATGCGACACTGACATCGTGTTTGTGCCAGCCGGTTGCACCAGCCTTCTTCAACCTGCCGACGTCTTTTGGAACAAGCCGTTTAAGGCCAATCTTCGGAGAACCTGGAAGGCCTTTATGCGGAAGGGAGAGAAAACGCCGAAGGGAAACCTGCGGAAACCATCACGGCAGGATGTGCTGGACTTTGTGGCTGAGGCGTGGGCTGCCGTCCCAGAGGAAACCGTGGAGCGCTCGTTCAAGGGCTGCGGCATTACGAACGCGCTCGACGGGTCCGAGGACGGTGAGCTGCACAATCGGCTCGCTGACATCGGCGCCGTGGTCCCGGAAGACCGCGACGAGCTGAGGGATGAGTGTGTGGACCTGGTTTTTGGGTCAGATTCTGAGGAATCCTTCGATGGTTTCGACAGCGAATAAAAGGATAAAGTTCGCAAGGAAACTGTCTACGGAAATCATTTTTGCTAAGACTGGAGTCTAGATTGCATACTTTTAGTGGCCGCCATTTTCTTTATCCGCCATCTTGAATATTGGAGCGGAACCGAGGAAGGGCCCCCCCCATATTTTGGTTGAATTATCTCTTGAGTTGGGGGGGCGCTTTCTCGGTATTTTACGGTAAGTGGTTGTAAGAGGTTTCAAGAAGTTTTAGCGCACTCGGTCTAAGTCGGTCGCAAGAGTGTGAACGGGCCTTCACTTTTACCAGTGAAAACGGGTAGAAATAAATAGCAAAAGGAATACTGGCAAACTGGTGAACGGGAAAATGAAGCAGAAAAGAACACGAGCCAAATACCACTGATAGCCGAGGTCAGTAGTCGTAAATCCATATCTGAATCCATAGTACCTTGGCTACTGTAGTGACCAACGTTTATAGATACTTCTCCAGTTCCCGAACTGCCCCTCTCCAGGCGGGCGCGACCGATCCCTAGGGACTGCGAGGGCGCTGCGATGGAAGCTTGCGCGTGTGTGCCGGCCAGGCCAGCTCCGGTTACGTGGTTGGGCTTGCATTTTCCCCTGCTGTTCCCGCTGTTTGTTACGTGATCTGTTGGTTTTCTGCCCTTCGAGTGTGTGATTGCTTTCGACGGTTTGTGATACGACGTTCGTTGTGACGTGACGACTGCATGCAGCTGTTATAATGCCTACGTGCTTCGTACCCGGTTGTACCAGCGGGTACAAAAGCAACCCGCAGAAACGACACTATTTTGCGCCGCCTCGTGATCCGCAGCTTCTCGGAAGGTGGACGAGAGCGATCCCTCGCGCAGACAAAGTATTGACTAAGACGTGCAAGGTCTGTGACGTACACTTCCAGGAGGCATTGCAACAGGCCTAAGTGTCTACCGGCGTCTTAAGGTACCTGGTTTTGCTAACAGTGTTGGAACAGAAAAGTTTACTTCCCTTCTGAATGACCTTTTTGACATTTTAAATGTCAAAGTTCCTGAAGCTGGAATAAAGAAAGGATCGCCCAGAATAAAGGTAAGCAAAGAGACATATGTTCCTCTCTTATGATCTTTAGAGCCAGGCACTCAAGCATCATTGAAAAAAAAAAAGAACTGGTGCTGCTTCACAAATTATTTTGCCTTGTCGTCCAGGCCAGAGTGCCAAATGACCTGTCGCACCGCCTTTTTTGTTCTTGCAGTTTCTGGAAAGGTTCCTGGAAATGATGAACCAAACCGAAGCAAAAAAGACAATCAAGCTCTTTGCGTCTCAGCAGACTACTGAGTCTCTTCGTGTAACACTGATGTCTGGTGCATCTTTAATCAGCTTTCTACATGAGAGAGGTGTCAACTACGTCTTGACGGCAAGCTTGAATCAGGACCCACTTGAGGTAATTTGACTTTCGCATTAATTTTTCTGGAGCTTTGAAACCTATTGTATCATTTTATTGCTTTTTCAGAGGTTTTTCGGGCTTGTGAGGTCTTTTGGAGGAGACTAAGATCACCCCACGGTGACGAAGTTCAGCCAGCTATTTCGCTTGCTTTCCCTCTACACCCCTGTCAAGGTAGCTGTCAAAGGAAACTGCGAGGGAGGCAGCGACCGTGTTCTGCTCAGTACATTTGAGAGTCTCGGGGAAAAACGAAGCGAGGCACTTTTGCAGAAAAGTGCACTGAAAAAACATGTTTGGGACCAGCTTATGTCCATACCTCTCAATGATATGCCTAACAGTGGTAATGACCATATGTACAATGCTCCTACACCAGAAAAAACAGCTCTTTACTATTTAGCAGGGTATGTAGCCTTCAAACTAAAAAAGAATACAAGTTGCGAGAACTGTAAAAAAAAAGCTCTAGGTGTGCAAGATGATCTGCCTCCTGAGGCACTACTCGTAATTGAGCATGCCTATGCCACAGGTAGTCTGGTGTACCCGTCTGAACGGCTCTTTGCCTGCATAGGCACTGTAGAGTACATACTGAGCCGAACCTGCAAGGAAGCATGCAAGGAAGATGCTTTTGGTGATCTTTTTTGGAAGGTTTTAGATTCCCTAATGAAGAGTGGCACCAACTCTGTTGGCTGCCCACAACATCTTCATGAATTCACAGCCAAGGTTATTCACTTCTATTTGGTGACACGTATGCACTTTTTCGCACGCAAAAAGTGCCAAGAAAACGATAGTGCCATAAGGGCCCAAAGAGAAAGGAAAAAGGCCAAGCTTGTATAGTGGAACTTTAACTGTAACAGGCTCTGTTTTGCGCGTGATTTGAAGCCTTTTTTTTATTTTTTGCGAGTTAGCAAAATAAAATTGATTGTGTTACGGCTTGTGTAATGTGTTGTGAATGAGCAGTTTCTGTAGATACTTCACTAAATTGCAAGTTGAGCAAATCTTCTAAAATAGCATAGGTAAGATCAATATATTTTGTAAAACAAAAAAGAAAAAAAAAAATGCCCAGGACGGCGCGATTCCGACGCGCAGCTTTTTTTTCGCGACATTAAATCACTACGTGCGTTCTGTGAATATATAAAATAAATTCATACCGACCGCGCGAACGATCCTCGTCTCGCTCGTTTTTATTGACGACGTGAGGCAACCAAGCATAGCGACAACCGCTGCGGGCCAAGGCTGAACCGCTTGCACGTACGTATTATTTTCGGTGTTACATCATTTGCAAGTTACCTTCTGTTCAAAAACGACCGAAATTAAAATAATAGCGCGTTACTCGCGAAATCAGCCGAGATCCCGGGCTGCAGTAGGCGCGCTGAACATCGCGCGCGAGGGAGCGGCGATCGTCCTGATGGCGCAACCTTTGACCGCAGCGCTGCGGTGGCGGGGACCACGCCGGGCCGCCTCCTCCCCACAGGCGCGCCGAGGAGATACGGAACTGGAGAAGTATCTATAAACGTTGGTAGTGACCCTAGTAGTGACTATAGGAAGGACTGTAGTGAGTGTGGTCTATTGCGTTTGTGCTCACGACGATGCACGCGCTGTCGCAAATCGTAGTCCTTCATCAAATATATTGCAGCGTTTGTGCCACGACGACTTCACCAACTCCGTAATCCAGACATCACGGGAAGCAAAGGACAGATCGCGCTACAGCGTGCAAATAACTTTCCAGTGCTTCGTGCAAAAAAGGGCACTTGGGATGGCTTATTGGGTTTGCCAAGCTCGAAATCATACTGCAAAGTCAAAAGACAAAACAGGGAGCTCGACCGTGAGTTGACACTAATCAGCGAGTTCTGCATTATTCATGGTTTTCGAAGTATTCAAAGAACTGTAATACTTCGAACAGCAAGAGTGCAAAGCGAATCGAATAGCAAGCATTATTTGCGAAGTATTCAGTTTCGAATATTTTCACACCCCTACTTTATTTCACTTAGTAATATTTTACTACAGGAGGGCTATAGTTCTGCTCCTTCCTTCAGTGTGGGCAAAGCCTCTTTTGCATATCTTAGGTTGCAACAAACTAAAGTGACGAGAGGGTGCAAATGGTTCTTCCAGCACCCAGTGGGTACTTTCACAGGGCTGTTTACAAATGCTGCCAAAACAACAAAGTAGCAATATTTCTTTTTATTATGTAGAATGCTATAGATCCCAGAGTAGCGGGGGCAACATTTATATTTGGATATCAAACTATATAATGCAAATAAGAACAAGTGTTGGAGCTAGAAACGCGTGCAACTTAGGACCAATTAAAAGTTATAAGACGTTCCTGAGTTCTTGTTATTATGAATGCATTGTTGTTGGATATCAGGGACTACTTTAAACCATTTGTCATAAAATGGCTGTCTAGCATTTCAATAAAACAAATTATCGAGGGAACCGAAAAAAAATGTTTTTAGTAATGTGTAATTGGTAACCGAAACCGTAAAAATTAAAACAGTAAAAAAAACAAAATGAGACTGACATTAACAGGAAACGGTAACCGTAACCGAAATGTTAGATTTTTCCGTTTGAGTTAATGATCTCAAACCAAGACAATTTTTTTCTAAACAGAACCGCGTGCCGTCTGCAACATTGCCGCAAGCGAGTCACCTTGCGGGATGCTGATCACACCCATGGACTTCAAATAACGATCTTCCTGTCTCCTCATCAAGTCACAGATGGCCAGCGGCTCACCTCCACGGCGCACTTCTGGACTCTCTAGCGCTGAACGTTATTACAGTATATCTGAAACTACACCCAGTCTCTTCCTTGTTACCGGTTTGGTGTTACAGGCCTCTGAAATGAACCTTTGGTTTTCTGCTGCTACCAGCACCCCTTTCTGTTTGCGAATAAATGATCACCTTTGCTTGTTCATGGAAATTATATTAAAGGTTGTTATTCGCTTTTTGAAATACTGACCCTGTGTCACTTTTCC